TGTATGTGTATATATATATATATATATATATATATATATATACACATACAAGATTGTACAGTGATTTCAAGATAGAGAGAGGTTCAGTCAGTTTGTTAGCTATTGCAGTTCCTTTGTACAAGTTGAATTGTTTTATGTTAATGTCATTGGATCTTGAATTATTTTCAAGAGGTAATTAAAAGAACCTGCCAGTGAGAAAAGTACACCAAATGTTAACCAAAATGCATCAGCCTGCATTTACTATAAAAGTTCATTTGCCAAATATTTGTCCAACTTACCAACTGATCCAAGTCATTCTGTAATATCCTCAATACTGTTATAAATACAGGAGTTTAATGTCATCAGCACACTATATTAAATGTTCTTGAAAAAAAAGATAATAGATTAATAAGACAAGGTTTCCCTTTGGTAAATCTATGTTGCTTTCATTTACGATATTATATTTTGGTAAATGATTTAGAAGAGCTTCTTCTTGCCTTTTATGTTTTTATAATGTTTAAAAATTCAGGTCTTAAATGCTGTTATGTGTAATAGTATTTTGAAAAGCTGAGAAACATTTTATAAGAGTTCAAACAACACGAGTCATTTGTGAAAGTGCATAATGGACCAACCAGTAAAAAATATTGTAATGCAACATTCTATCAAATTATTGTGTTTGTGTTTTTACACCAGTCTTTTACTGATGTCAAACAGACAGAAAGTTAAAACAAGACGTCAAAATAAACATACATAAAAAACTGGAATCCATTTTTAGTCCCATCATAATGTAAAAGATAAAAGAAAAAAGATTTTAGTTTATCAATTTAGTTAATGTATTTAGTACACCACCTTATTGACAACCTGCATATAAATTTACTTAGCTTACATTTTACTCCCAAAACATGAAATTGAAGGTAACATTTTTCACTGTTGATATAGAGAGACTCAACAGGTAAATACATCTAGGATGCATATATGAGTAACTTTATTTACATATTTAACAGCATTTCTAGAAAGACACTGTTTCACAATATCTTACCTTCACGAAAAGAGCATTTCTCTTCTGTGGTCATCTTTGAAGAAACTCAAGATAATTTAAGATAGCTTATAAGGTTAAAAGCTATCTAATGTATTAATATGCAAGTGGCTAGTAATTTGACATCAAATAAATACTCCAAACCTAAGGTAAAAACAAAAATGATAATCAAAAATTAACAATACAGTAACAACAACAAATTCAATTCATTGAAACAGTCTTCTTACAGGATTTATTAAATGAGAAAAATCTAGGATAAAATGTTGCAGAAAACTTTAATGGTTATAGTTTATTGGCTTAGGGAGGGTTCTTATTAAAATAATATTGCAGAAAACAACGGACAATTTAGTCCTTCAAAGCTTTCCATGAAAAAGTAAAAAAAATTAAATCTACCCTTTATTCTCTTTTAAAACTTGTAAAAGGCCAACCTTCATTACTGCCAATGGTTCTTCATAATTATGTGTTATACCTTGTTCATAGCATCATATTCTTGAGATGAAATCAAATTTTGTATGTGACCTTAACACACCACCTATGTTATTTTAGCAAGTCTGTAGTCATATGGTTCTCCCACCACCTATACTTTTATATCTAAACTTGTTTTGTGTCAGCCCTGTTATTAAAGCCATGGAAGCAAACCAAATGAATTGAAACAAGAAATATGAACTTGTCAATGTCCCCCATTCTCATGACACTGTTGAACCTATGCAATCTTCAGTAACACCAAAAGAATACATAAAACTACTGAGTAACATCTCAAAAAAGTTTTTGTCATATATTGCATAAACAAAACTTTTCTTGGGTTGCACCCATCCCCATTATGTACTTTTTTATATTTTTTTACATTTAAGGACTTATTGATCCATCTAGGCCATCCCTAAACCATTAAAAATATATAAAAAACTCAAAGCAACCTTTATTATTGAAATATTTATCATGCCTTCCATTAAAATTCTTTAAATTTACTGCTTACACTACACCTGAAGGCAACACATTCCAAGGCCAACTATCCTCTTAGAAAATTAAAAACTGTCTTAGCAGAAGATGGCTCTTATACTAACAAAATTTATATTTGTGTTTCCTAGACCTATAATTTCTACCATTAAGTATGGAAAAAGATGATAGATTAACACTATTACTTCCATTAACAATCTTAAACATCTTGATCAGACCATCTCTAACTCTTATTTACAAAACAATTTCTGAGGTCTTAACCTGTCCTCATATAACAACCTTTCCATTCTAGCAGCACTTCATAGCACCCTTTCCAACAATTCAACATCCTTAATGTCCCATTTTCAAGCTGCTTTTCCCACTGCCTCCCAGAAACTTTAGGGGATACAAAAATGTCCAGCTTTGGGAGATAATCAACTTAAATGTCCTCCATTATGAAAATTAATACCAGTAAGCACTACCGTACTATGACTACACATATGATTTGTTCCTATCTTTGTATAATATCCTTTATTTTCATATATTAATGTTTAAATACATAGATAATCATATACTTATTGAGGATATAATAATATGAAATTTGCTTGTTTATTGTCTGATAAAGCATCTTCAGACGTTAGCCAATGACCTTTGTACTACAAAATCATTGAAATGCTATATATTAGCATTCAATACATAGTAATATTGTTATAATTGACAAAACAAAATGAAATTAGTTTGCTTTGTTTCGAGATATGAGCTGAATGTTCAAAACCTCTTTGACAATATATTTTCAACTCTGTTATGTCTCGAATTTTTGCAGCTTATATCGGTCTATATACAGTCATTACTGTAACATTTCACTTACAGACACGCTGTCTTTATATCAGTATCTTAAACCAAATTTTGTTTTATTTTCAGACAGTTTTGTTAAATAATTCTCATGTCTAGTTTAATTATAGCTAATTAGATGGTCTGTATTTTTCATGAACATCATTTTTTTCTATTGCATGTTCCCAAAACACACTCCTGATTTGTTAAAGAAAATAATATCTAATGAAAAGTATAATAATAAGATGGTATGCATTTTTTTTATGAAAAGAAGTTTTCATAAATTTAATGCAACCAATTTTTTTATTCATCAGTTAGGTGTCCCACTTTGGACTCCAGAAAATCTGGTCACTTTAAATATCCTACCTAAGGAGAAGCCCAAAACTGAACACAATACTCCAAATGTGGCCTAACCAGTGACCTATACAATGAAAGTATAACCTCTTTAGACTTCTATCCGAAATTTCTGTAAATACAACCTATACTTCTATTTACCATATCACTAGCAAGAGTAAACTGTTTGGATGGTTTAATAGACTAATAAATCAGTACAACAAAATTTTCCACTTCCATAACACATGAAGGTTGTTCCTATCAAAATATATTTATAATTGAAATTATGATAACTCACATGCATTACCTTGCATTTATTATAATTAAAAACCATCAAACATTTATTTGCCCATCTCACTAAATAATATAAATCCTTTTGTAAAGTAGCAGCAGCATCCTCACAGCCAACATCCAAATCTTTAATGTCATCAGCAAATTCAATATTTTGATAATTTGAATATTTAAAATTTTTTCCACATCAGTATCTCCCATTAATTCAGTCCCTCAATTCACAAGAGATAATTCTTGTTGCATCCCTTCAAGATTTGATTTTTTTTAAATCTGTAACCAAAATACCATTATTTCTAAGCTCCCTATGCTGTAAAATATTAAATTCAATAGAGCAATGATAATTTGAGCCCAGATGTGTTTAATCTCCACATTCTCAACTAAATCTATATTAGAATGTTAACAACAAATCTGAATGAAACAGCTTTGTTTCTAGTAGGTTACCCGATTAATTGGCGAAGAAAACCCTCTCTGCCTCACGGTTTGATTAACATTTCTCAATCTATATGCCTGAAATAAAAACCATCGTATGACTTCATTAACACCTGAAAAGTTAATCTCACTGTAGAGTTTCTCATTAATTTTATTGGTTTCATCTAATGGTCTGTAACAAATTTCTATTAAAAGTCTTCCCCCTTCCACTAACAGAAACCCAAATAGATTTTAGACAAAGGCCACAGAGTTGTTTACTATGTACAAAATACCTTAGTATTTACCACAAAAAAAAAATAGTCGTTTTTTAACTGATTCATCTTGAGCCCGAGGTTCTTCATTAAACTCAAAACAGGTTTAACATCCTGATCTGTCATTCACTTTAAATACAGCTCAATAACTCCACCCTTTCTGGAATATCAATCAATCCTCTAATCAATGAAATACATGTATACTTATTAATAAATTGCAAAATACTTTGAAGTGCCACTCAGGTTATAGGAAGTCAATTGGTTTTTGAGGATATCATCCGAATTCCTAAATTTTCAACTAAGAGTAATTTTATCTTCACCAAACCACACTTATTAACTGAGGGTTTCAAACTTTTATTAACACTTACATCCAAGTTCTTCATTTTTAACACCATTGTTCCTCTATTAAATAACTATAACTTATAAGTAGTACTACTACTAGGGAATTTTTTTGTACTGTAAATAGTTTGGTTGTGTATCTGCTTGTTTGTTAATTTCCGGTATAAATTCTGTCCGAGAAACTTCAGCGATACAAGTCCCTTCTTGATTAAAACTAGTTTATTCTTTCTCGATACAAACTTTGTAATACAAAGAATTTTCACAGTCAATACGTTTTCTCGTTGCTTTAAACTTAACTTTTATAATACACGCTATAAATCATAGCGATTCACACACTTTACTTACCGTCACTACTGTTCGTTTCTTTAATCATTTATCCCCCACTGACTTTCTTTGCCAGGCTTATATACTAAAAAAGAGGGCGTCTCGAACACATTAGGGCTGCCGGGCAAATTCATGATTATTCGAGAAACTCCAGCACGCATGCTCCCAGCATTGCATGACTTCTGCTCTCATAACAGTTTTAACCATACCAGTACTTAATAATATCTGCATGATAAGAACTTGAAGAAGGCATTACACTACCATAATGAAAATATTAGTAATAATTATTTAACAAGCATTCTAAGTATGGTAAAAATTATATTATACTAAGTTCATATTTACAAATTAATACAAAAAGTGAAGTAGTAATCATTATATTATAGTATCAATGTATGATGACAATGATTCTGAGTAATTATTTTTACTTTTAGAGTAATATACTCCAATATATAATTTTATTTCTGCATAATGAAGCTTTTTTGTTTTGTTTTTGTCTTCTGGCTCACACATAAATAGGTTTTCAAATTCTTCTAAAAATAAAAATGAGCCCTTCCCAGCCAGCATCATATAAAATTGAGAAATAGTTTCCTTCCTAATAGCAATACTAATAATACTATCCAAATCATTGCCACAAATAATAAACAACTACCATAAATCATTAAAGGTTTTAAAGTTTAAACTGACCTCTAAGGTGCATGACTAATCATATTCTCCCAAAAGAAAAAGTGTTCATTTATCATCTCACTTTATTTTTAGTCTTGACAGACTATACCACGCACTTTTTAAACTATTTACGGTTCCTAATAGAAATAATTCCATGAGCATTCCGACTAAGTTTATGTGAGGCAACAAGTAGTTGAAGTACCACAAAGACTTTCGAAAGTTAGATAAACAACGTAAAAATAACAAATGCGGGTAGGTCAAATTATGTACATATTGGTATGTTTGATTAGTTACCTCGACCATCGACATGGATGAGCTCAAATATTTTCGGTATTTACTCGCATCAATTTCTTAATTCTAATATAATATGCAATTTGATAATCGAAATTACAGTTGAGCATGGCTCTATTGTTATGCGCCAACTGGCATATTATTATTATTATTAATGATATTTTACATTTATTATAACTTAGCAGGAACATAGTTTTCCGGGAAAAATACAAATTCCCTACGTACCTGAATGAACTAGTACTAATACCAAATCTAAAATCCGATTCTTAGATTACAAACTTTAAAACGACCTCGCTGATTTGTCTTTTCAATTCAGGAAACACATGACTTGCGTGAGTTTAAAAGGTTATCCACGTGCTAGAGGTAATTAACCTTCAATCTTTATTAGTTAAAAACTGTTCCGCCACCTTTTGGCATAAATAAAAAGTATTATTCATACGCCATGTTTCTAAATTGTAACTGACTTTGCGAAATTATTTGTTGTATTTAAGTAGTAGCATTTGTAAGATATTTCAATGCAATAAACTTATGCATTGAAAAGGTAAGAAACTACCGGCAAATCTTAGACTTTACAGAAAAACGAAAGTAAGTATAACACTATATCAGTACATATAAGTGTAACGTAAGAACAATTTGTTTCGTGTAAAACCGATAAACATTTAGTTCTAAGTAGTAAATCATTAGTTACTTAGTTAGATTTAAGTTAGAAATTAGGTAAGAACTTGCTACTGTTAAAGTTACTAGCTTATAGTAGTTAAAACTTTGAGAGAATGACATCTATCTTATTAATATTACGTTAGGCTTAAAAAGTTACATAGTAATTTAGTATAGATTAGTAGTAGTAGTATAGTAACCAAGTAATATAATTTTAATTAAGTTAAAATTTTTGGAGAACAAGTAACCTAGTAGAAATTAGAAGTCCAAACAGGCTGTTCCATCCACTCAATGAGTCTCAAATAAACTATAAAAAAGGGAAAAAAGCACCAATGACAGCTCTTTTCATTTGAATATTTATCAAGACTTCCCTATAATCTGAAAGCAAGTCATTCTAAAAGCCAATCACACTTAAGTGTTAGAAAAATAAAACTATCTTAGCTTTTGTCCCCTCCTAGCACTACAGTTTTCTTCAGTAAATACAAAAAAAAAATATGATGCATTAATACTGTCAATTCCCTTAACATTCTTAAACACCTCAATCAAATCCAGGAAATGACTTGATATGGTGATCAGGAGTAATAACATTTTGGTTGCAAATTTCAAGAAAGAAAATTTTGAAGAATTGTCTGTTGACTGTGAATTGGATTACTGTATTAAATGGAGACACTGTTCAGATGTAGATGTTTTTACACACAACTTTTAATATTCAAAATATACAATTTAAGTACAGAAAAAAGAGGAATGGCTATGAATAAATGACCATATTGGTTAACTAACAGTATAAAATTACAGAAAAATTAAGTTTAACTTCAGTGTTTTGTTGGGAGACTTAGAGGATTATAGAAGATCGAGAAAGGTAGTTAAACAGGAATATGGAAATCAAAGAAAAAAGTAAAAATTAACAATAAAGATTTCTTTAAAGGTATTAAGAGTACACAAAATGTTTGGATGTGAGTAGGGCCTTTGATAATGGAAGGTTTATTTCTGACAATTATGAGATGGATGAGTCACTGAAATCTGTATTTTTTTCAGTTTCTATTAATGAACATTTGACTAACATTCCTAATCCTGAACAGTTGCTAGATGAAAGTACAAATATCACATAAATTCTGAGCTTGTTAAGAAAAGATTTGGAAGTTTAAAGAATGACATTCAAGGGTTTTAAAGGAGATGAAGGGTTGGATAATGTGAGCCACTTCCTAATATTTTCCTTAAGCCCTTCACGTAACAGTCCCTATGAATAAAATTACATTCACTTGAGAGAAAGCTATCTGGAAGATTACATTCCTTCATGTAAAGTTACATTTCTGTATGAATTGTTTTTTTTTTTCTATTTAATCCATGCAATATGTTCTCTTTCATTGGTCATAACTAAACAAATATGGATGGACCATACATTCCTGATCAGGAAAGCCAACTAAAACAGAGTTAAATTCCTTGAGAATTTGGGAATATAATATTTTGATCCCTCGAAGGACTGCATTGTGTGTGTGTATTACAACACTCTTATTTTCCTGAATTCATGTTCTGTTGGAAGTTGTGGCAGGCACTGGCACATGTTGAACCTACAACTTTCTGATCATGGATAAACATTCATGAAGCAGTAGTCTTTATACACTTAGTCATGCAATCATTTTAACAATGTGATAAATTACAAATGTAAATGTAATAATTGATTTTCAGTAAACAATAAAAAAAATCAATAAATTGATATTGCAAATTTTAGTGCTATATTAATTATTCTGTTAGTGTAACAAAACAAAAACATGACATTATAAACCTGTTTCTTTATAGTGTATAAAATAATAATATAAAAACATATTACATGCTAGATTATGTTTAAAAAGGCTTTGGATGCATTATAGCCTTCATGAGGCCTAGGGGGAAAAAAATGTTTTTTAAATAATTCTATTAACCCTTGAAAAAATAAAGCCCCAATCCTAAAAGATTTACACCTTTCAAAATCTCCAAAGAACATGATTGGATTCTTGTTTATTCATCAGCAATATTTTCTTGGACTAATATTTTACCAAAGATGAACATGTCTGGAACTGGATATCAAATCCTTAAACCTTAATCATGAGGCAACCACCCTAATCACCAGGCTACATCAGCTTGGGGCATAATACTGTGGTGGTATTTACAGCAGATAGCATTAGGAGCTTTACAATAACTCAACCAAACTTGTTCAGCTTCAGATACATACCAACTGACTGGAACTGGATATCAAATCCTCAAAGCTTAATCATGAGGCAACATCAGCTTGGGGCATTATACTGTGATGGTATTTACAGCAGATAGCATTAGAAGCTTTACAATAACTCAACCAAACTTGTTCAGTTTCAGATACATACCAACTGAACTCATTCGTAACACAATAGCTAGTGCTACTACTACTTTGGCATAACATTTTGAATGTGTTCAACCTGATCCCAACTTAGGTATGTGAGTTGTGGCATAGTGGCCATTGGTTATATAACTAGACACTTATGCCTGTATTATCCATGTTCACCTTGTTTGGACAATGGTGTAATTTTAACTTTATGTATTGCTTAATCGTTACATGCGACAAATGTAATTATTGTTACATTAGATAGAGCATGCAAGTAATGAAGGGGAAGAGCTTAGGGGGCTCAAGTCCTCCCTTTAGCCATACCTTTTTAAAAACTTGTGCAAAAAAAAAGATTTTTAGGAAAAGTCATATTTTGATAGCTGAACTACTTTAAAACAATGAGAAATACACCTATTTTCGAAGATAACTCGCTTCTACAGACAGAATAACTCTATATCTCACACGTATGCCTGTAAGATTTGCATGGTACTAGCCTTGAGCTAACTCCTACTTAAAATTCATGCATTTAATGTGCACTGTGATGGTGCATGATGATATCATGCAACAAAAGCCCTTCACCAATAGGAAGGTGACACAAACTCCATTCACGATATCTCCCCTTAAGCACTTGCTCTCAAAATAACTTCATTCTTTTCTTTGGTATTACCATGAAAATTGTGTTGTTTTTTAGTCTATGTTCAATTTACTGAGATTTTCAATCATCAATGAAACTTACATTTTCATTCTGCCTTTGCTTTTGTTTCAAAGGCATTGTTTAACATAATGAATTCTTAAGTTATGGTGGCTTCTAATTGGTCCTGTAAAAGTAACTTGAGTTATGAACATAGGACCTATTTCTACTGTGACTTCTAGAGGCTCGTTAACTGTTGATGATATTACAGCCATGGTGATTCATGTTGTGGGTTTCTTCACACCTACTGGGCATCCTACTCGTATCCATTCATACAATATCCTTTCTCCTGAGATTGTGAATGACCAGGAGGTCAACAAATTTAACCGATTGGGTACAAACTTACTGATAGGGGAAAATCTCTACCTTCTAATCTCTCTCTGAATACAATATTTCAGGTATGTTCCTTTCTTTTTCTTTAGCATGTGTCTTTTGATTCTTTCCCTTCTTTACTTCATGAAACCCATTCTCAGGATTACTTTGTCCTTCCTCTTTTGCCTCATATTAGGGTTCATGCTTGCTTGAACAATTCCACACTTATGCCCAAATGCCTTGTCTGCCTTGTATACTTCACTCCTTTTGTCAGGCTTCCAACCATTTTTTCTTTCCTTTTCTAGATTCTCAGTCTTTGGGATATCTTTTGCCTACTTAGGGTACGTAACCCTTGTCCTCTATTTTGCTGTCTTGTTTCTTGTTTCCTTTATTTTCTCACTACCCTCCTATGTTACTTCTGCTCCCTTCTCTTTTTTGTCTGAGGCACTTCATCTTGCTCCAGAGAGGTTTATTCTCTTCTCCTTACCATCTTAGCTGGTACCATTTCTTCTGTTCTGTCCCTCTTTACTTGATTTCTCTACTGTTGGGACTTGTTGGGTTGGGAAGTCCTCCTCACTACTTACTCCTTACTTCATGTTTCTGTGATCTTTGTTGGGCTCCATTTCTTTGCCCAGTAATCTTTGGTAGTGTTGAGAACCTGGGATGACATAGCCCATCATCAGTTCTCAGTTTCTTTCCTGGTTGCTCATATTTCTCAATCTCATCATTCATCTCCTGTCTCCCTCTCTTTCTTCTTATTTTCACTCGTACTTGAAAGAGATCTTACAGGCAGGCATGTGACAAGCTCCACACACATTTATCTCTTGTAGGATTTCAACTACACCAGGTTGCCAATCTGCAATCAACCCATCATCCTTGAAATAGTTAAGTGTATTTTCCTTTTCTCTTCCTCTTCCATTTAACAGGATCCCATGAGGTGTCTGATGTTGCCTCCCAGGGTTTGTTTATTTCCCAAAACATGCATCAGGCAAGGGATAACAGAAAATGCCTAGACCATCCACCCTGGCTCTACCAGTGTCCACTAGAGGTATCTTGGTATACAAAATAACTTGATTGCCCATTCAAGATCATATAATTTCATGGACTATCATGGAAAAAGCTGGCACCAGGGAAGTGACTGCCCATTTCTTTAGTTTGCACTTGTCAGCTTTTATATAAAGAATTTCATGATCACACACTGCACTGTCTCCAGTAAAAAAACTTTTCTAACAGATGTCTGATGGGGATCCTAGTACTTTTCCAGGCCCCCAAAATGCATATTCCCTCCTTCCCCTCTTCAAATGAAGCATGGAAGACTCTTGCTGCTTACCGGTTCCTAGCCAATGGGGTAGTGAACCTTGAGGATTCCACATTGATTTGGCTTAGCATAATACAATAAAAAGCAGGGCAGTGTTGACAGTGTCAGTATAGTGCAGGTCACCACTCATACAGCTAGTGTGCCCTCCTCCAGCCACCTAAATCTATCCAGTTGAGTTGAAGTGAGTACACCCTGTACAGCGTGATTGCACCATAACCACACTACACATAGTAGCTCATCAACTGTTTATGTGCAAGTCCTCACCTGATCATGTTTTTATTCCGCTTATCTCTGCAACTCTTTGTGTTTATTTGTCTCTCCTCCCTTCCCATTCCAGGTGAAGAAGGTACCCTGGTTAAGAAGAGATGAAGTCTCACACTGGTGTGCCCCTATGGAGTCTCTGCCATTGGGCTTTCCCTTCGGGCACTTTCGGAAGGGAGCTCATCAAGGTTTAAATTTGCACCAGCCCTTGCATCAATTCAATGTGTGATTCTAGCTATTCTGTGTGAAGAGGTGGGTTATTGTCTGAGAAATAACATTTTCCTAATCTGAAAATGTATTTCCGATAAATACCTCTGCACACATTCCCACTTGACCTGCTCATTTCCGGTGCACTGTCTTCTTGCCTTGTCTAAGAACAAAGTTATTTTGAGTGTAAGTGCTTAATGGAAATTATTGTGCATGGAGTTTATATCGCCCTCCTATTGGAGTAGGGCTTTTGGTGCATGATGACATCATCATGCACCAGCACAGTTCACGTTAAATGTGAATTTTAGGTGGGAGTTAGCTCAAGACTAGTGGTATGCAAATCTCATAAGCAGCTGTATGAGGGATATAGCTATTCTGTGTAAGGAGGTGAGAATCTATCAGGACTACATTTTCATATTAGGAAAATGTTAACTTTTGTTATTTGCACAGTAATCATTATAATATACACAAGATATCTAAAGTTTTGGTTCAGTCTTTCAACTGTAAAGTACTATTTCTGAGAGTAATTATTATAAAAGTATTGGTATCTCCTTATATACTTAGCCTTGGTTTAGGAAAACAAGTTATTCTAGGCATCTAAGCTAAATTTTAGATAAAAATGTAAGGCAAAAAATAGAAAATTATCTCATATTGTATTATATGATAACTTTTGAAATTATATGTATTTTAATCTACAATACAAATATTATGTTATTTACATATCAACTATATTTGTATGTTTTGTGAAGGTCTTTCCTTTTTGTGATTTTAAAGTGAGCCCCCCTCCTTAAAAACAATCCTGGTTTTAATAGAATAGTTGCAGCAAGTTAATATTCATCGTTCCTTATTTGTTCAAAGAGATTGTTTGTTGAATAGCTTGCTTCTATAACTGTGTTTGTCATAATTTACTAGAAATGGATTAATGATAGTCTAACAATATGTAACACTATTAAGCTGTTAATGTGTTTAAGTATGACTAGATTTAACTAGATAGGAAGCACTGAAAAGGGAGAACAGAAGTCTGGCTTTCATCACATGCTACTTAAACATGGCCTAGCACATTAACTTGCTTTTTGTATTCATATCTCAGCAGCTCACACTTTTAACTTCTTCCAGCCTGTAATAAAAAGTGTAAACATATTAACCATTTTAATCCGTTCTTTCTTAAATTCTGTCTATATCAACAACTTTACACTTATATGATGTTTTTTTTATAATTATAAAGTTGATAATTATTTTTTACATTTTTCAAGCTAATGGTGGAATTAGAAAAAAAATGTTCAGAAATGTTGGTAGTTAGAAATTCTTTTACTATTTCTGTGTTTTTAATATTACTTATGCAACATCTGATTCTGCTGAATCATTTTAATCTCTATACAAATAGGACTGGATTGAATTTGGTTTTGCTGAGTTATATATATTTATCACACACACAGTGACAAGAATGTTTGTTTTATTAAATGAAAACTAAGCACAGTTACTTTCAACAAGCATTTAGTTAATTTAGTAATAATGTACTAAAGCTAGATATCCCAATTCTTTGTAATGATGTTATACTCTTTTCTTGAAGGACAATGATTTTTAATGAAGAATTCATTTATTTAGAAATGAATATCTCAGTTTTCCTTAACAATACTATACACTTTTTGTCAACGTTGATAATTGATTGGTTATGCAGCTTCCTATAGTATACTGGAGAAATTCTTTTAAAGGGCATGTACAAAGGTTACATCCAGTAAAATCTGAGAATTTTAGGTTTAAGATTTTTCTGATATTTATTCAATGTCACCAAGTAATATATATTTTCATCAACAAAAATTCAGTAATTTTTGTTGAGTAGTCTTGTGAATATTTGTTGGGTGAAACCTAAGGAAGGCATTAATCATATTTTAAGTTTGTTACAGATTTTATGTAGTACTCTATGTGGCTGACAACTTTACATATTATTACATATTCTTTTTTTGCTTTAAAAAGTAATTTAATTCTAAGTTGTTGTACCTGAGTATATTTATTGTATTAAATGAAGGGCAGTTAAAAAATATCTTTAAAAAAAACAAGTGTTAGAAGTAGGAATGCTAGTCTCATGCATATGGACTTTACTGAATATTCTAAGTTTTTAAAATCTCAGTCAATAGTGATTTTGTATAAAGCATAAAAAAGTGCATTCCTTATCACTTTGATTTCTGACTCTATTTCAAGAAATAAGAAGTTATGTCATTTTTATTATGTAATTGAATCCAAATTTAGGGAAATGATATTGATCAGTGAAGTTTGAAATGCACTTAACAACATATACAGTTTTCCTCGTATCTTCTTCATTTATTATACTTTTGTCATAAAACAAACTGCAAATTGTAATCAAACAATTTACTTTAGTTTCAAAAATATTCTAAATTTTCCATAGAAATCCAAAATATATTACATCAGGAAATGGCATCGATGCATAATTACATGTAGCTCATTACAGCAGGCTCTTTAGTGTCACAGTGGTATGTATATGGACGATCAATGCTAAAAAACCCGGGTTTCAATACCCGTGGTGGGCAGAGCACAGATAGCCAGTTGTGTAACTTTATGCTTAACTACAAACAAAAACCATTACAGCAGGTTTGTAAACATTTGAAAATCTGCTTTCACAAATAAATAAAATCGTATTATATGAGCAATGATTACTTGAATAGCATATAGAAAATACTTGTACACCTTTTTCTTTCAGGAACCTCAAATCAAGAACAGTATTTCTTTAAAACCATAGTTATATCACTTCTGTCATAGGCTTTCACCATCCCTAATGAAATTAGCCTTCCTACTGTTTCATTAAAATGTATCAAATGTGTTTCAAACTTTAAGTTTATTTATACATGCTGTATAGATATTAATCAATCAAATTTAAGGTTGGGCCTCTAACAATTCAGAAGGTAAAGATGTAATGCACATCATCAGGGCTTACTTAATCCCAGATGACAGGTTACTATGGTGTCTAGGAATTTTTAGTATATTTTCCATTAAAAAAAGATGTTTTTTATCTTTGATCAAACATAATGGTAGTTTTATCCCCAAATTAAAAAGGGAAGAGATGAAACAAAACTAATGTAGTCTTTTCTGCATGCTTATTACTCTTCTGCACAATTAATAATGACAAATGTTTTATTTTGCTTTATCTTGATCATTATGTGCCTCTAGAAAGTTTCTGTGAAAGTTCATTCCTCAGCTCTGCCTACTTTGGATTCTAGAGCTAGTAAAGTTTCTGAAATATTTAAATATCCTGTCTTTCATATCCCAGCTGGCCTGATTAACCCTTGTACTGGGCCAAAGGCCTCGTTAGTATTGGATATAGTGTTGTTGACATATTATAATATACACTTTTATACTTTCACTCATATGTTCTTAAAATTATTTACTAAATTTTAGGCCTTTATTCATAATCAATTCAATTTACACCATCTCTCAGAACTTTTTATAGTTGATGTATTTGCTGAAGAAGTAATTTTTCTTTGCTTTGGATAATTGTTTTTACTTGACTTTTCACTAAACAAAGTAAAAACAAAAACTAATATTTATTCATTTCCACAGTTGTAGACAAGACCATCAATCAAAGAAACAAGGATATCAGTGTGGATTTCCTCATATTTTCATTCCCTGTGACTGCCTACAGTGGCTATGAATTTTAGTTATCTGGTGCAGCCCCTTCGAGATCATGCCAGAAAAAAAGACTTTGTTGAATGACCATAACTTCAGGCTGCTAACATTCTTAATATGATTATAGGTCCATAGTTCATGGTCAATGGGTCATCTATCAGCCAGTTGCTCTAGTGTCACCATATCTGTAACTTACTGTTAACATTCCTTCTGCCCAGATTCAATGAATATGGGGCAGAAGGCATCAGTTGGTGTCAAGACAATTACCAGAGAAACTTTGGGACCTCCTCATTACATAGCTCAGGCCATAAACCAAGAACTTCAACGGCCTGCTAGATTGGATATTCTATTAGACATGCCACTGATAACTCTTGAGCAGCAGATAAAGCACTCCTGGAATTCAGATGATCGTTCTATCAACATATTTGTGAAGGATGAAGACAAGTTAACATTCCATAGACATCCGGTTGCCCAGAGCACTGACTGCATTCGTGGGAAAATAGGCTATACTCGAGGAATTCATGTTTGGGAAATTAATTGGAGCACGCGGCAGAGAGGAACTCACGCCGTTGTGGGGGTTGCCACACGCGAGGCACCTCTTCATTGTGTAGGTTATCAGTCCCTTGTAGGGAGTAATTCAGAATCGTGGGGATGGGACCTAGGTCGAAACAAGCTGTACCATGATGTGAAGAACAATTCTGGTATCACTTACCCTTGTTTATTGAAGACTGATGAGACATTTGTAGTCCCAGATAATTTTGTAGTAGTTTTAGACATGGACGAGGGCACATTGTCATTTGTGGTAGATGGTCAGTACTTAGGTGTAGCCTTCCGTGGACTGAAAGGGAAGAAACTATATCCTGTTGTTAGTGCAGTTTGGGGGCATTGTGAGATTACCATGAAATACATCGGTGGCCTAGATCGTAAGCATATGTTTATTACATACTGGTACATATAAGGTTTATTCAGTGTTTATAAGTATTTCCAGATAATATCCCTTCTGTGACTAATCAAATCCATCAGTATACAGAATAGTGCAAAGGTCATGCCCCACAAGGATTTTAAATAACAATAAAAAAAAAAGTAATTACATTTTAGTTTACTAAAGTATATGTTTGAATTACTGGCCATTAACTTGAAACATTTATTTTAATAAACAAAAACCTAATTTCATTGTTTTTATTCTTATTCAAATTCCCTGTGAGGCTCAATATTTGCACTACCCTGTATATAAATATGTCAGCATTTTTGTACTCTTATACTTGTATGACAGTCTATGTTAGCATCCCAAAAATTATTTACTATCACCTGCTTGGAAATCAGCTCTCAACATTTTCAGGATTCTGCTTCCTTAGAGAAATACAGGAAGCAGGAGAATTGCTTTTATAAATATACAGAGACGTTTTGTTGTCACTATGTAAACTGTTTAAAAATGTATTTCACTTCATCTGTAGAGTGGTCAACTAGTGGAGTCATATGCAAAAATCAAATGTGTGTTTTGTTGAAGTTGAGATTTTAACATATATGTTCTAGACACATAAGAGAAACATTTCATTAGTTGTTTATAGATTTCAGTGGCTACCTCACAGCAGTTTAGCAATTAAAATATATTTGTATCATACATGTTATTAATTGTGCAACATTTAATTTTCTTGGCATGTCAGAATTATGCCGTTTGAGTAGTAGGCCCAGTTTGGGTGAGTTTGTCATCCTTCTCCATTTTGAATCCTCTTATTTTAGTGAAGCCAGATATTTTAATTAATACATATTTTTTGTTAAAACATGTGGAAATCTTAGTTTCCATGTTGAATTGCCAATAAATGAGCAGTCAAATGCATATTGTGAGTATTATACTAGTATTGTTACAGTTTTGTCCAAGATCCTCTAACATTATGCTTTAGTTCAACCTTTAAGCATGGTTTGGTTCTATGGTAGAGCACTGGAATTCAGAGCTGGTGAGCCAGATGTAAATCCACCTGGTACCAAAAAGTATTCTCTGCACTTTATGAGGGTGTCAATAAGAAAGGTAGGGTGCTGCTGACTGGCTGCCTTCCCTCTGGTCATTAATTCAAAATGAAAAAAACACATAGGTATTTAATTGTACTGACTGTTATCATATGATAAAGTTGTTTATGCATTTAATCATTGTTGACATGTGAAACTTCATGTATACACATATACTGGGTGAGACAAAAGTCCCGATTTTTTCCCATTGTTGTTAAGTAGGTGCGAAATATTGAAAATTTGCTGAAATAAGTTGTTTAGGCATATTATGGGTCATTTGTTTCTTGAGATGATGTCATGATATTAAGATGAGATCAAGGTCAACCAGATGCTACATATGAAACTATCAGTCTGAGGGAAAAATTATTCGATACAAACCTTGTAGAAGATGAAGATGTTACCCATAAAAAACATTGTTTGCAACAATGTACGGTGAATTATAAAATTATGCAAGTTTATGCATTTGGATTATCTTAATTTGACCATTATATCATGACATCATTTCAGGTAACAAATAGCCTCTAATATGCTTAAACACCCTATGTTGGCAGATATTTGATATTCCTCACCTACTTCACAAGAATAGGAAAAATCAGAACTGTTGGTTGACCCTGTATATATTTCCAAAATATGCTCAGATATTTGTAATTTTTATTTCATTCATTACCTATCTATTTGCACTTTTTATTTCATTTTTGTCAGGTTTAGAATTAAAAGTCCATTTTTTTAAAAGTCTACTTTGAAGCAAACACAAATTTGTTGCAATAACAGGAGCAGCTGATAAAACACATCACAGAGTAGGGTGTATTATTGTATAGATTTTACATTTTCAGGGGTAAAGGGGTTTTGTATGGCCTTTGATTATCATATGTTAATTTATATTATATTAAGTGTTTTAAACTAAAAGCCATTGAATGTATGTATGCAATGAGCAACATAAGATAATAACTTGATTGAACAAGTTCACCTTATGTTTTGGTAATGCAAAATCTTCTTGAATATTTCCTATGGGTGAACAAAAGTTCAATGGTTGTATCCAAACATAATTGATGGTAATGCTTTAGGTGTGTACTGTGAGCTCATAGTCAGTCTGTCTTGTGCATCTGACACGTTAGGTTATACAATTTAATAATGCTCTAGTATGTGCTCCTGTGATTATAAGTAGTTCAAGTTGAAGCAGTTTGAGTATATTTTAGGTAACCCTTAATATATGAGTAATATTTATAACATTGTTGAATATTCTACGGAGGTCAAATATCTATGGGCCAGGCTTTCTTTAGTATCCAATTTGATTTTGCTTGTGTTCTGGGGCAGATTTCTCTGATTATGTCCCTTACACAAACATATAATAATTTCTGAATGATAGACAATGAACAGAGCTTTTCAAATATATATAATATGTAGAATGTTGCCAGCAGAAAAATGTAATTTCAAAGCAATAACACAAACACAATAATTGTTAGTAAGACTCAAGCCTTTATTGTGATTAATTATTGAACATTTGTGTTTTAAAAAAATTTTATTAGCTGATTGTCCCATTACTTTTTCACATATAGAAATATCCAGGATATCATGTCACCTTAATCATGTGTTCTCCTTTATGGTTGTTTATTTTCAAGACAATAATTACAAATTTTTGAGTAACTAAAAAGATTAAGAGTCTAAAATCAATCCAGGAAGTATATAATTTGATTTGATCATACCCCAGACACAGGATATCAAGAGAAATTTTGGGTATGTCCATTTGGAGCTTGTAATAAAAGTTTTTAAGCAAGTGATCACCGTTACGCATATATCTAGTGTAGATACTCAAATTATGTCGTTTTGTTAGAGCATTATACACAATACCAAGACATTTGTTGTTATCAATAACTGAAAGGGTAAGAGTAAGTTGTATTCTTCAATAAAAATCACTGAATATGAAATTGCATTAACTCCTTTACTTCAGTTTTGCTTCATAGGGGAATATATATAGAGTGCATAATGCTTTTCCTGCCATATTTAGTTTCCACCATGTGCAGGTGATTAGGGTAGGGTGGATTTGAAATGTATCAGTCACAAATCAACTAATTTTTCTGCAAGAAAAGTCCTTGAAAGTCGGACTACATAACATGTGTGTATCTCTAACTGTATAACTAACATTCAAATGGTGTGAGGGGTGGTAGTTTTAGGTTTAAGTGACTGATAAGTTACAAAGCTAAATCTGTGAGGGATAATTAGGGATCTATTTATAAAAAACGATTATTGGGGACATGGTGAGATGCATATAAAGGAGTTCACAGAATGGGTAAAGGAGGTCACCATTTTAATTCAACTTCTTGTATATGCTATGCACTTCTTAGTATAATGCTACATTATAATAAAAGCTTACGTTTATGATCTGTGGAAGTAGTCTAATAGAAAATAACTATTATTATCCTGCTATAGTTGGATTTACTGTAGAAATGTAAAGATCACACCTATCTTTGCTAATTTACAGAGGTGGTATGCATTTCGGTGATGGGTTTTATATTTGTGTGTTTAGAATGGATGGTAAACAAAGTCAGCAGCTAAAATATTATCACAGAAAAAAGGCAGCAGAAGGGAAAACCTTCTTACAATTTGTTTGCATTTTGCCTTTATATTCTAGGTACAACATAATCTGGTAAAGGAGAACACATGTGGAAAACAGTAGTCATCTTCATTGAGATGGAAAAATATGACAGAATGTAACCCGAGTGTTAGCTTTTTAAAATATGACAGAATGTAGCCCGAGTGTTAGCTTTTAAAATATGACAGAATGTAGCCCGAGTATTAGCTTTTTAAATATATGAAAGAATGTAACCCGAGTGTTAGATTCTTGGCACAAGGTTTTTCAATAGTTATATTTTCAAGAACTGTATCAATCAAACTTATAGGAGAAGACTGTTTTTCTACATTTTAAGGTTGAAAAATGGACACTTAAGAAAGCTTGGCCCCTACATGCAAAATTAGGAATAGTTTTTTGTAAAATTTGGAAGGAAATCCAAAATTGAATATACATAGATGCAAACAAATTTAGGTGAAATTGAAATTTAACGTATAGGTACTTTACCTAAGTCTAAATTTCTGAGAAATATATGTGCTAACTCTCTCTCATAATATTCATATTACTATAAAATGTATGCTATGTAGGAAATGTATATTTATCTAAGTAATTTAACAAATTTACCATAACACTAAAACACATATGTACCTAGAAATTATTTAGAGATATTCCTATAGTATTTCTTAAGAATTGAAAACAAACAGAGGTTCTGGAAGTGTGTTTTTGTTTTATGTAAAAATGATTACTTCAGAAATGTTACTCACCTCTATGCACAACAAAGAGTTATTACCTCATGCCACTGCAATGAAGATTTTTGTGCATACCACAAGCCTTGAAAGAAGTTCTGCACAACATGTATTGCACCAGCCTATGATGTAATCATTGTTAGACTATAGACTTCTACATATATATAAACAGGTGACACATCCTCCATGTGCAGTTATTTCCATGAACATATGAACAAAGGTTCATTCTTTTTTTTTTTTTTGGTACTGCTTTGTTCAAAAGTGTTTTTCTAAATAATTAATGGCATTTTTGTGCCTCTTGTTTTAAACTTGCATTACCATTCTTGATTATGAGAAAGACAGAAACCAAATTTTAAACATTTAAGTTAGAACTTTGATTTGAATTATCTTCAATTTGATCTTTTTTAAATCAAAGTTGTAATTTTAAGACATTACTCCAGTGTTTGTGATGAGGTTTATTGAATAGTGCTAGTTCTCATTTTTATATTCCAGTTTATGGAATTTTTTAGGTCATCTTCAATTATTATTATCAGTATTATCAACATACTGGGCCAATTTGTATTTCTAACTAAAAAAAAGAATGTGAGTTTCATGAATAATCCAGATTATAAATTCAAGTTTCTGACATCTCTTAAGGTTCAGATATTTCTTAACAATACTATCCAATACTATAATGCTAATTTGAGGCATCCTGACAGTCAGTGATATTACCAACATTGTGCACCAAATTCCATTCTTATCTCAGATCCACAACTTCCAACCTCCTGCATTTGTTACTTCAGCTGAGTGTGCCTCATCCTTTCAGTTTCACTGTGTTGTTTCCATGCCTACTTTTGCTTCTGGTTCCATCTTCCCAATGAGGTTCAGGTAATCCCAACTTCGTCATTCACTGCTTCAACTACACAGATATGTGTTTTTTGCTGAATCTCGGGCTATTTTGTTGCAGGAGCCTACATCACTTGAAAGTTTTGTTTTGTTTTCATCTACTTTGCTTCTTACTTGCTAACTTCTTTGCTACCTTTCATGCCTCATCTTTCTGTGGCTTTACATCATAATCTTGTCATCTTTACTTCAGAAATTGGCACATATCTGTTTTCTACCTTGCTTTCAATTTTGTTTTCCCTTCCCTTGTGTCCCACTTTACTTGGTTTCTTTGTTGCTGGAATTTGCTTCATTGGGATACCTTACTTTTGAGTGTTTACCTCTCTGTCTTATATCAGTGACCTCTGTCTGGTACTGTTCCTTCAATAAAAGAACATTGGAAATATTCATTACACTGTGGAAACTTTATTTGAGGCTGCTCATCAGCAATCTTCTCTTATTATTTTGATTTCCTGTTTTTCTAGGTTCATGGGGTCTCCACACATTTCTTGTCCTTGGAAGTCTTATAGAATTACCTTCTCTCCTGTTCCTCATTCTCTTGTACGCATCTGACACACCCTCTGGGAAGGCTGCTCATTTTGACTCATGTAGATGACTCTCTTTTGGAGCCACTCCATGGCAGGTGCATTCATTGCTTCTCTATTTCCATTACTATATGGACGACTGGCTCCTTCTTGTTCCATCCAAAGAAACATCTTTGGCTTCAAGTTCCTTTCTTCCTTGAGAGGCATATCATTTAGGACACTGATCAAATTCTCAAAGTCTGTCTTGACCCCCTCCCCTCAGGATCAGATTCACTTGGGAATCTTTTTCAACTCATATGAGGACAATCTCAACCATCTCCTTTACTTCTTTGAGACAGGGAACTTCTGGTTACCAAAGCTCTTGCATCTCCTTTCCTATGTAAGAAGTTCTGTCTCTTTTGAGATCTCTTCATTAGAGTTCTTTGCTCTTCTCAGATTCAGCCATTTGTTTTTGTTTTTCAGTAGAACCTGACACATCAATGGAATATGTCCAGAGATACCCTGTCTTTTATTTCTTCCTTCTCTTTCTTATCTCTCACTGTCAGTAATCAGTCCCACAGAACACAAGACATCTCTCTTGCCCTACTTTACCCAGACCTGCACCTGTTCACTAATGCCCTTTTTTCTGGGTGGGAATAGTTCTGAACACCTACACCCTTTGTGGGATATGGTCTCTAGCAGAGTAGTCACTTCATATCAATGTCTTTGAATTGTTGACTGCACCAACATTTTAAGTCTCATTTGCTTAATCACATTGAGATGATTCATTCTGACAACACTACCATGACTTATATCAACCAGCAGGGAAGCACTCTATCTTGGAACCTCTGCTTTCTGCCTCTGAATTTTCTTTTTTGAACCTACAACCACATTTAACTGTCAGACTGTTATGTCTCACGAGCTATGAACCTGGTATTGGGTTGACAGTCAGATTGAATCCTTCCCATGGAGATACTTTTCACTCCTTTGGATTTGAGTTTAAACCCACTTTGAGAGTCCTTTCATCAGTGCTCTTGTGTCTCCTCTCATTGCCAGGCTTCCTCTTTTCTGTTCTTCAATCTTGGACTCTGCAGCTCTAGCAGTATATGCTTTAAATCAGGATTAGATCAATTTCTTTATTTTTACCTGACTTTTTGAGAGCAGTTTGTTCATTTCCACTATCACCAGTGACAGGGAAGCTTTCTCAGTGACCTGGAGTCTCTTCTCTGGCCATTCTCCTTTTCTTTTCCACTTCTTATGGGAACTCTTTCGAGCTGTTCTTCTCATACATTCTCTTCCTCCTGTCCTAGTTCATTCTCTGGGCCCTCACATTTTTCCCATGCAAACCTTTGGCCACCTGTTACCTGTATCATCTTTCTTTCAAGATATATTTTTTCTTCTTGCTGATTGGAGATGCTGCTCTGACATTTTTACCTTAGATACTTCCTACATACTTTATCACAGATAAAAGTTTGTTTTATTCCCAGACTATCCCTTTCTCTCTAAGATTTGGGCTGTTCAGGAAATTGATTGGATGTTTACTTCAGTCACTCTCCATTTCATTTCTTCTCCATATAATCATTCTGACTCTGACCATCATTTATGTCCTGTTCAATAGTTCAGTGTTATTTTGTTTGTACTGCTCAGTTACATGAAAGATGCTATCATCTTTCCTTGCCATGGGATTTTGTTTCTTTTCATCTCTTATCACCTTCCACTTTGACTGATTAGGTTCATTAGCTCATCCAGCCAGTTTATTCTTCCATGGAGGAAGTTGCATGTCAACTTTATCAGATAACCTCCCATTAGGTTCATCGCCTCATGACTCTCATTATTGATATTCCCCAGATAGAATCTGGCAGATTGGTGTGTGTGTATGACTTCTGACGTATTTGTGTCTAATTACTTAAATTGCATAGTGGTTTCATCTGCATCTGGATGTCATCTCCCTTCAAGTGCCATTCTCCAGCCTTTCCAGAGACTCTAGTCAAATGAGATTAATTACTCTGTTAATATTTGTTTTACAGCTTCATCATTACCATTATTGTATATATATATATATATATATATATATGTGTATACTAGAGATGGTGATATATAGTATATAGTGATGCCTCACACGGATCACAAAATCCACATCAAGCAGGGGAAAATAGAAAGTTTGAAGCCCATTTGCACTTTCTCAGTGCCTGCTGTTGAGATGGAATTTTCCATAATACTTCTTCAGCAGTGTATATAAATAATTTCTCTTCTAGGCCATACTTCACAAAAAAAAAGGACAGGAGCATGTATGTCTGTCCTCACACCTGACTAGCACCTGCTGTTCATATTTGCAGTAACCCATTGCAAAGTGTATCAGTATGGTACTTTATGCAGATGTGACATTTCCTGTTCAATCTGAGTACTTCTCTGGTGTTCTTCACCATACAAATTCCTCACTCCCATTCACCTTTAGTGGAGTGAGGAAAAACCCTTGCTTCCCCAGTCTTAAGTTGCTGGGGAGGTCCATATGGAAATCTCAACAATGAGTCACTGTAATTTTACTGGTATGAGGCCAATTAAACACACCTGTTGATGGGGAAGTATGGTTGTGGTGTTATATGGAAGTTTAGTACAGGCCACACTGTGAACCAAGCCATTCTCAATGGTTAGGTCAGCCATATGGATCTTATGTTCGCTTGGGGATGCAGATAAGGAATATTTCATCCCCCCAATTAATTATTCTGGGAAATATCTCAAGTAAGTGTTTCTCCAATATGGAATGGCCTAACTTGCTGTCATAGACACTCTCGTTCTCAGCCAATCACATGTGAGATAATTGCCTGTGAGCAATCTTATATTCTGCATCACCTATGTGACACTTTAGCACCATGCATAATGTTGTTTTAACAATATCTTTTACTCTACCATATCTATTGGGTGAAGAGTATTCCCTGTTTGAGTTGGATGTGGTTTCCTATTGAGTAAATCCCCACTTACTAACCTTTCCCCTAGTGAGTGACAACTTCCATTGGGTTTTTCCATTTCTGGCACTGTGTTTTCAGGAAGGTTCCAATATTTTCACTGGCCCTCCAACATCTTGTCATTGTGGAATTCTAGCTTTTTTATGCAGAGGTGAGTAAATGTTTCTGAAGTTAACATTTTCTTTACCTAAAAATGTATTTCTTTGTTGTGGAAAGAGGTGAGTGACATTTGAAATACATTTTCAGGTAAGGAGGAAAATGATAATTTTGAATAAAAGAAAGTAGCTTCTGGTTTCTTTAAAGTCAGCTGTATACAACGCTTTGGTAAAACATGAATGGTTATAGAAGTTTAACAAATTTTCTTCTATGCAAGACTATTTATTAGGTGATTAATATGTTTTTCAATTTGCAAAAGAAAATTGTGATATTCTTTTTTTTTATGTGATATTCAGTTCAACCCTTAGTAATAACATTCCTCAGGCTTTTACAACATTACTAAATACACCTATACAATACCTTAATTTTTGGTACTTGCTAAAAATTACCATCTAAAAAGAACTATTAGTGAATGTGTTCTTATCTTCTAGCTGAACCTCTACCACTGAAAGATGTATGTCGCAGAGTGATAAGACAAAGAATAGGAAAGAGTCATTTGAACCAGATCCATGAACTCAACTTGCCTACTGCTCTTAAGAGCTATTTATTATACCAAGACCGTAGATAATAGTAATAATACAAGAACAGTTGTTTATGAAGTTGATAATTCCATGTGCTGAAATTAATAATTATTATGTTTGTGTAAAAGTTAATAATTCCATATCTATTGTAAGGAAATCTTTTCCAGGTGTAAGATGATGATTTGAATTCTATAATAAGGAATTTTATTAAGGTGTGAAATTGTTAACATGTTAATATTTTGGATAGATGCATCAAAAAATATCTTGCAGCATGAAAACTGAAGTTTATGATGAAGACGAAGTTATTAGCTTTAAATTTTTTGGACAGTAAGTGAAGGAAATGATGAAAATGAAAGTAATAAAAATCAATCAGTATTGGTAGAAAATATAGATACATCTTTGATAGCTACATGTTTCTGTAATATTCTTTCATGTTTTATGATCTCTCTATATATGTAACTAATAGACTTAAAGTGTATTGCTTAAGTGGATGTTTTTAGTTTGTTCTACAATATCTGGTGTTAAAACTTTCTACTTTATTTTTTCCTAAGAGTTATGACCATCACCAAACTGCCTCAAACTTCAAATTGTCAAGTTATTTGTGGCTATTTGAGCAGCTAATTTTACTGAATTTTGTGTTTAGATTGGATACAAAATGTTTTATTCCAGACAGTTTCATAGAAATACGTGTGGTTGATGAGCCCTGCTAAAGAATGCTTTAGTCAGACAGATTTTATGAACTTAAAATGTACTTAGTTTTTTAGCAATCTTGTTCTTACATAAAGTCATCAAAAATTTAAAAGCGAATATATTTCAATAAGATTTTTAAGTTCTTGTTTCAGAAAAAGTTTCTTTGTTTACAATCTGATTTTATTTTTTCAAGTTACTATGTAATAACACTTTTTTTACTTATATGGTATTTCTCATGCATAAGGTTCTCCCAAAGAGTAGTCAGTTATACCCAGTAACTGGAGGTTTGGAGAATATTGCACTGCAGAGTATATTTATCTCTCCAATCTTCAACCATGATTGTCTAAAAGAAAAAGACTCAAAACCACTAGAAATAGGAGTACACAAATGTTTGTTTACACACTAAACAAAAATATAACAAGGACAAGTTTTCAGTGGTGCATGTTGAACTGATAAGAGAAATATTAAGACTTTATTCAGAAGCTCCTAAAAGGTTTAAACATCCTCCCTATAACTTAAACTAAAACTTCAGCTTAACACAAAAGTGAAACTCTGAATTTAACATTGACCAAAAAGTTAAATTAAATTATAACAAAACTATGCTTGCTTTGTAGCAGTGAACTAATAAACAGTCCACCTTCAGTTAAAGTTATTATTATCTCACGACACACAGCTAAAGTAACATTCACATTGTAAAGAATAAATCCAAAGTTAAACAAGAAAAATACTAAACATCAGACTTGGAGGTTTCACTATACAAGAGGACTAAGGCCATCCACATTACAAAAGTTAAATTCAACTTTCTTAAAAGTTATATGAATTTGTTCTTATAGGGGCACTCATGGTTTTATATACAAAGGCAAAATACACTAACAAAGCCGAAATGCCTTGACCCTTATCTGATTTGCTGACAGGAAAGGTGGCTTTCTACTTCTGGATGCCATGTGCTATCTTCTCTTTAGGAAAGCCAGTTAGTTGCCAGTTGGCAAACCCACTTCTTGCATTTTTTCAAAATGGAAAAAATTATAGTGTTACTTACTTTCTTGCATCCAAACTGAGAATTCTGAAAAGAAATAATTTTGCAAATTTTGCACTTATTTTCCTTTGGTATATCGTAAGATGCACTTTTAGGCTGCTAAAAGTCAGGGATTTTAGAAATAATTGAAACCTATGCACATGGTCTCAGTCCATTTGTCCTAGGCTGTACTGGAGAATTAATAAATACTATAATTCCCAAATTTTTTCATGTATCTTAATGAACTTTGACAAGCTTTAAGTATTTTTACTAAAGATTTGTCCATGAATATATAGAGTCGGAGTGTTGACTAGTCCAAGTGCAAGGAGATTAAAATACATTTTTCATCTTAATTTTCAAATTTCATTTGCATGACCTTTAAAACCCCCTAAATGAATATCAAACATTTATTTCAATAAAACTGTATTATTCTTTTATTATGGACTCGGTCAATTTGACCTACCTTGTAACCAGCACAAAAAAAATGCTATAAATTTAAATTACTCTTTTTTTTTTTTTCTTCCAAGAATGACTACATATTCTAACAGAAAATTACAATTATTTATCCCAAACAGCTTAAGGCTGGTAATAACTTACATGTTTTTATTTAATTTTATTGCTCTTTGAACAATGTCTAACTAATAATCCTGCGACACAAGCTTTAAATCACACTGCAAAAGCAAAGTCCAAGCTAATATGATTAATGAGCTACTCACAAGCATACCTCATAGAGAAATGTTTTTCATGATTTAACCTAAGTTTCTAATTTTGTACATTTTTGTTAATTTTTTATAACAACTTAGAAAAATATGTGTAAAAAAATAAGAAATTTAGTTCTTACTTTGGCCCCTTCTTTTTCTTTCAGTTCCACTGGCCTGCTGATTAAACTTACACTTACTTTTTGTAATGATGGTACTACTACATTAAATTATAACTTGCACAAAGCAAACAGTGTCCTATAACTGTTATAATTTAATTGGTTTTCTAACTAAGACATAAGTGCCTTAAAATAATTCCTACAGCTACTCAGTCTGAACTCAGCCATATCAACATTTGATTTATAGGTGAAATAACTAAACATCTCTACTGAGAACAAACTAGCATTTTACATCATTCAGTAAAATAAGACTTTGGCTTTCTATTAGTTATAAATGATGTAATAGCAAATGTCAGAAAATTATTGGCAATTTGTGAAAAAGAGTGAAAGATGGATGTAACAGGTGGGTATGACTTTCTAGTTTATGACTTTGTAAATATAGAAGATTGAAGCTTATAAAAAATTAGACTGTGTGTTAGTAGTATTTATACTATAATGAATAATTTATGTTAAACTCGGAACATCAGAAAGGGGTGATGGAAAAAAAAAAGAGAATGGGCAAACAAATGTGATGTCAATTATACAAGGGAGATTAACTAACTCTTGAATGTAGCTTTTTAAAAGCTGTGACATGTGCTCTTTGGTCTACCTGTAATGGTTAAACTCATTTGACATTTTGTATTAAATATTTCATTTTATATTAAATCTTTTAAAGAAAATAACTTGATTTGGCCCAAAGGTGAAAATAATGGATGATTAACAAAAGCAGAAGTATAAATGGTGCTTTACTGGTTGTCTTTAACTTCAACAAATATGTTATAAAAATCTGCATAAACCCTGAAACATATCTGTAGTAACTCTACACACAGTCAATATTGGAAATACATGTGCTAAACCATGCAATTCCTAAGGAAGATGTGTGCTTTTAATTTGGTGTATGTTTACTTCTCGAGTATTTGAGTATTTTTCCACCCTATTTTTATTGCACTAGCTCACAACAGTCTCATGAATATTTATGTTTAAAGGAAATGTGTTTTTCTTAAGTCATACCATTTAAACAAAGAAAAACCTTTGTTAAAAAGTTTCATGTTTACAAGGTGGTAAATTTTGATCATGCATAGTAAATCTGAAACTTCAGAGAGGAAGAATCAGTTTCACTGTATCAAAAATTATGGTTCTTACTCCTGCTAAATTTTATATTCACCATGCTTTGACAGGCGTTTAAGATTTTAATTACTTTCATTTGTAAAGTTGGCAATGCAAGTTTTCCGAATAACACTGTTGAAAAAATTTCAGGAAATGTGCGTTGAGTGTCTTTAGTGTACATTTATTTTGTAAGCTATATCTGTGAACTGAAACTAAATATTTTCTAGAACAATATAGAGGCATAATGCATAGAAGGATCATATATTTGAAACACTTGGTCTCTAATCAATAAATCTGTTGCTTTAAGAAAGGCTTTGCAGTAGTCTCTAAAAAGGTTTCAACTAATTACAACTATACACCTAAATGAATTTGAAGAATATATGTAATGTAAGGGCAATCAGATAAATAATAAACTTAGTAACAAGAATCACAACCACTTTATCACAGGTGTAAAAATTAATAGTTTTAAATTATTTATTAATGTTTTTATGATATGGTTCTTTGCTGAAAAAGCACTTTCGATACTAATCTCCCTCGCATCCAGCTTTCCCAATTTAGTGCTGACCTCTATATTCAAAACTTTTCGCTCGCCACTATTTTGAGGCTCCCACGTATGTTTGCGTTTCCACGTGATATTGATGCGTTGCATGCAAATAAGCATCTGACAACCTTCCACCAATAGGAGTGTGACACTGTTTCTTAGTGCAGCTGGCTCTCTCTAAACTGGTCATTGAATTTCCACATCTCGATTTGGTCCAAGTGTGTTAAGATGTCTTTTTCTCTCACGTGAGATTTGGCACCATCAATGCTTACTTGAAATATTTATAAAATCATCTGATTTGGAAATATTATTTTGTTTTTACATTCAAACAATTATGCCTCTGCAGACTTTGTGGTTCTTATTTGAATTACACATATATGGTCATTTTCATGTTTCCTAGTGTTGAACATCTGGACTTTGTTCTACTCTAG